AAACATAAATTGCGTTTTGTGGAATAAAATATGGATTTAAAAAAAAAAAATTGTTTTTAATAATATTGCAACACTTGACTTGCCATAGCAATGGATTCTAGTATTTTGGATTTATTCATATAACGAATACTTACACAACCTGTAGTTCGTGGACGAACGAAGTTAACTCCATGGCGGACGCCATTGAAGTGTGCAAAGCATTGTGGGTCCATCCTTTAAACTAAATCGCTGAAGTTGGTCATTGGTCGTCGCAATGCGTTATTGATCGTCGCAATGCGTTATTGATCGTCGCAATGCGTTATTGATCGCTGGAATTGGTTATTGATCGTCGCAATGCGTTACTGATCGTCGCAATGCTTTATTGATCGTCGCAATGCGTTATTGATCGCCGCAAGCGTTATTGATCGTCGCAATGCGTTATTGATCGTCGCAATGCGTTATTGATCGCTGGAATTGGTTATTGATCGTCGCAATGCGTTACTGATCGTCGCAATGCTTTATTGATCGTCGCAATGCGTTATTGATCGCCGCAAGCGTTATTGATCGTCGCAATGCGTTATTGATCGTCGCAATGCGTTATTGATCGTCGCAATGCGTCATTGATCGCCGCAATTTGGTTATTGTTCGCCGCAATGCGTCATTGATCGTCGTAATTGGTTATTGATCGTCGCAATGCATCATTGATCGCCGAAATTTGGTCATTCTTCGCCGATTGTATATATGGGCCACCGTATGGGACAGTCGTTGTTGTGAAACAATTGACATACTTCCCTAGGGTATCCAGGATAGTTTTGATTATTAGAAGAGGGAAACTGCTGCTTTATGGAAGAGCAAATTTCAATGTCATTGGCCACAGTGTAGAAGTAATAACATTACGATGTTTTCGAGTTTAATAGTAAATTATTAATATTAAGAAATTAATAGTAAATGGTAGACTCCCTTTTGAATAACATCAACCAGTCTAACCTGGTTGACAACAATGAAATTCTAACAGCAAGGCAATTAGGACAAATTAATAAAAATATACAAACATCATTTATATAAACTTGGAAAAGTGAATTACAAAACGACAATCAATCAAAACAAAATTAAATAAAAATAAATTAAGAACATACAGAGAATTAAAAAAAAAACAATTTTGCTTTTGAAACCTACCTTGTTACCCTGTAAAATATTGATATGCGCGAAAATTTAAATAATTCAGCCTCAGTGACCATAACTTGAAAACTGAGACTGACAGACACAACGGAATACCCCTTGCTAATAGATTATGTAACCTTTGTGATCAGAATCAAGTAGAAGATGAGTATCACCTAGTGCAATCTGATTAAAATCCGATGTAGGTATGAGGTTCCAATTTTTTTTTTTTTTTTATATTTTAGTTAGAGGCGACTGGAACACAATTTTCTAAGAACTGATTAACGGCAAGAAAAACCAAAAAAATCGACATATTCAAACTAAAATACAAATAAATATTATATATATATATATATATATATATATATATATATAAAAAAAAATAATATTAAAAAAAAAAAAAAATTGGAGCCTCATACCTACATCTTGTTTTAATCAGATTGCACCTAATGATGTCATGCAAAAGTTATACCCCCGATAGA